CCTCAGGGTGCCGTCAGCCAGACAGTGCCGGCTGGTGACCCCCAGGGGGAGGGCCTTCTCGGTGGGAGCCCCCACCCTCTGGAACGAACTACCCCCAGAGATCCGGGTGATCCCGGATCTCCCCTCCTTCCGCCGCGCCCTAAAGACATGGCTTTTTCAACAAGCGGGTCTGGCCTAGGGAATTTTAGTGGGGTTTTTATGGGTAATTTTAAGGGTAATTTTAACGATTGGCCTTTTCGAATATTTTCTTTTAATTTGGTTTTAATATGGATATTTATTGTACTGTGGTTTTATAAGGCTGTTAGCCGCCCTGAGTCCGGTGAGGAGAAGGGCGGGATACAAATTAAATTATAAATAAATAAAAAAATATTATATTTTTATAGGCATGGCCAACATCTTGTATTATTCCTTTGTGGCAAACGGAATATCTGCAGAGTAAGTGAACCATTTGAGTTAATTTCCCCCTAAGTATGTGAGTGACTCTGAGAAGAAGGTAAATCTGTGTTTTAATTTTTTAATTTTTTTTACTTTTAACCCAGAAAGAGCTTCCTTTAATATTTGAAGTTTCAAAAACAACTACCAAATGGAGGGGCCGTGCTCATTTGCCTTGGAATTTTTTTCCTCCCAACACTGATAGATTTAATGCATTTGCAATTCATGGAACAGATGTGAATAGAACATATGAAGCACTCTATCCTATTCCCCATAATGAAGTTCACAATAACCAGAAACCTGATTTGTAAGTATATCTGTGATGCCATTTTTATGATCTATGTTGCCATTATGATTATTGAAAGTCTGGTATAGGGAAAATAATATTTTATTGTCCTATATCCTAAGGGTAAAGTTTTATAACTTTATTATATTTATAGTCTACTTTTCATACAAGATCTCAGGTAGTATGCATAGTACACCTATTTTCTCCACAAACTGTGAGACAGGTTGAGTTCAAAGACCAGATAAGGTCCAAAGTCATCTCTCTGAGACTGGGTTTGAACCTCAGGCTGTCTATCAAACTGTAACTCTCAAACCACTACAGGTTTGAGTATAAATTTACCAAGAAAATCTAGATTAATTTTGGAATTGTTTCTCTTTGTTTGGAATCAACCAACAGCCCATTTATTATTGCAGAGGTAACCAGCCTCTCTTGGTTGGCGGACCAGAAGAAAAGGGAGGGGGAAGCATTTTACACATGCATGCATGTGTGCACATGCACAGGCCACGAGCATGCGCATGATGCAAACGGGGTGGGGCTAGTGCTTGCATGATACTTGCTAGCCCTGCCCCGTTCTTGTGCACAATGTTCTGTTTTTGTGCCCCAAGGCGTGCTGACGGCCCCTTTTTGAGCACCATAGTGCGGCGGCCCGTTTTTGTGCTCCGTGGTGCAGCGGCCCGTATTTGCACTCCGTGGTGTGGCAGCATCCCGTTTTTGTGCCCTGCCGTGCAGCGGCAGCCAATTTTCACACCCCAAGGCACGGAGGCATCCCATTTTTACGCCCCAAGGTGTGGCAGCGGCCTGTTTTTGCACCGTGTGGCACAGTGTCCTGTTTTTTCACCCCGCGGCCGCAGCACTAGCACAAGTGGGTGCACGCACTGGCCAGCCTGTCCCGAGACCCAGTGTCCAGCAGCCCATAGCCCACTACCAGGCCGTGGCCCACAGGTTGGGGACCCCTGTATTATTGAATATAATAAAACATCTGTTCCTAAAACCACCAATAGCAAAATCATACTTAAAGTTGATTCTCCTTTTTCATATAATTTACGGTGTAAATATTGTCTAGCATATTTCAAATATATTTCAGAAATATTTTGAAGCTTTATGTAATGCAATAAATATTCACATATTTCTTATCTTTTATATCCTTCATCTTCATTATTTTGTATCCTTTCTGGGGCCTGGAATTCATAATTTGCTGTATTCCATGCACACTGGTATCTTCTGAATGTCTACTGGTGATGGTTATCTAATTTTTACCCCATCTCCAAACCCTTAATTAGCATCATATGAACAGCTTCAGTTTTTAATGCAAATAAATTAATTTGTAGGTTTAGAAAACATTAGGCTAGCGATTTTTTGACAGCTTGGAAAACTCTAGGGTTTGATTTAACAGAAAAAGCCTTCAGGTATATGCTGAATGGGACAATATTTTGCATAGAGTCTATCTTCAGATTGAATGGCTGGTGCTGCTTGCTTATCCCATCCTGTGCAAATATATTTAACTGATTAGTTTGTCTTAATTTGGTATGGTGGTGTATCTGAAAGTCTTACATATTTACAGAGAATACATAAAAGTTTAAAAAAAAGATATAAAATGGTGTTTTTCAATCTTAGCAGTATTACATTATATGGACTTCAAAACTGAGAATTTGCGAGCCAGTATTGCTGGCTGGGAAATTCTGGGAGTTGAAGTCCATACATCTTAATGTTCTGAATGTGGCTCAGTGGTTAGAATGCAGTACTGTATTGCAGGCTAACTCTGCTCACACTTCCAGGAGTTTGATTCCTTCAATCCTGACCAGCTCAAGGTTGACTCAGCCTTCCATGCTTGGTAAAATGAGGACCCAAATTGTTGGAGGCAATATGCTGATTCTGTAAACCACTTAGACAGGTGTAAAGCACTGTGAAGCAGTATATAAGTCTAAATGCTATTGCTAAGGCTGAAAAACCCTGGTATAAAATGTGATATTTATGTATATATAAACAGCTGTCAAAGATGTGAACTTTGTTTCTTGAATGAATGAACTATCCTAGTGTTTAATAGAGTACAAATTTTTTATTATTGTCATTATTCTTTGTAGCAATTCAGTAAGAGTGAGAAAGGTTGAATATATGCTTGCTTTTTCTTGCAGTCATCGTCTGGAATATTTTAAAAAATTCAGTTTCAAACAATTAATGGGAGAAGATTGGAAACAGATTGAATCAGACATGTGGAAATCATGCATTAGATGAAAAATACAAGAATATCATGAGGATTTGGCTGAACAATTTTTGTGGGCAGGGATCTTTCTTTTTAGGACTGCAGGTGAGCTTTCGTTTGAAAAAATAGGGACATTTATCAAATTAGAATTATTCCTACTGAATTTTATGGACAAGGAATTAGAAAAGAATTTGGAAAATATTATAATTGTTGTAAGATTATTCTATAAAAAATGGAAATACGATGAAAAACATTCAGCAGAAGACTGACATAAAAATAACTGAACCTGCAGAAATGATGAAGCTGATCAGTTTGATGAGAGAAAAAGAAAGGGAATCTTCTTTTTTGAAACACTGGAAACCTTATATAAACTTTTTGCTGAAAAAAAAATAAATCAATGATTTCAGGATAAAAAGGGAGAAAGTGGATAAAAATATTACTTGATAGAAAGGTACAATTGTATGTTTTCTTCTTTCATTTCCTGAAATTTTCTCTTTTCCTTACTATCGTGTATATTTTTACTTTTATTACATTGAAATATATGTGTGTATGTATGCACATGCATGCATGGACACTTAACACAACTGATTTACTTCTTTTAAGCTTTTTATAAAATGACAAGATGACAAATTAAGCTACTATAACAGGCAGAGGTGAACTAATTATTAGTTACTAATAAAAATAAGGCAGGGGCATTAGCCTCTATTTCTAATGCAGATTAAGATAGATTATTGGACACAGTTGATTTTCTTATAGTACTGGAAAGTCTATAGTGGATTAAATGGAAGAGTCTTGGCATCAGGAAAATTTATAGATAATGTTTATGCAATATGTCTATATCTTTGTAATAAAATAATTTTATCAGTACCTGGAATCATGTAAAAGTTTTGCTTCCTTTCATCTCTGCATTTTATTATTATTTAAATAAAATCATATCAGTTTATAATTTAATCATAGAATTTTTATTCATGGTGTGGAAATGGATGCCAATTGAATTTAGTAGACTTAGTCACAATGCATAGAATTTTAGCCTTCCTTTAAAGTTTATATAATAGTGGCTAGGTTTATTTTTTCTTTCTTTCGACAATTTATAGGCCACTTAGCTCCCAATAACTCTGGGCATCTTACACTTATAACATTAAAAAAGAGACATAAAAGAGATCATGAACAGCCTGAATGCAAACATATGAACCAAAAAAATCCAATCCGGTAGGTGCTTAACCTTTAGCCTGCCTCAAAGTCAGGGAAAATAACTAGGTCTTTGTTTCCTCAATGTCATCAGGGTGAGAAACATCTGGATCTCATGACTGAATATCTTTCCAAAGAAGGTACACTTCCTGGATTTAGTCAATAGATACTTCTTGGTTGATGGGACCTAGTCTATCCAATCTCAACTAGAGACAGGTCTTTTCTCAAATAATGCATTAATTTTAACCAAAATGGGATTTATTTAATTTTGACTTAATGTTACCATGGTTCTGCTTAGTCTGTTATACAAATCCAAGCTGCAAACCTTAATTAAATTATGACTTAGTGCAGTATGAATTATCAACTTAAAACAAGGAGGTTGGAGTACTGAAATTGCTATTGGTTTTCTTGACTAATATCATTTTTAAAGCTATGAAGTAAGAGTATGGAACCTGTGGGCTCCCAATAACTTCATTCACTGTCAGATAGCTAGGCCTGTATTTTAGTCCATATCTACTCATTTCAAACATATACATGCTTGCTCTGGTTTGTAAACAGCAGGCAGCTGTATACAAACCAGCTGCTTCCTCAGCAACTGTAAATACCCCAGCTGCTTCCTCCTTGTTGTTTTAAACTGCAGGAATTGTTAAGGTTAGGAAAAGGAAAGGAAAATTAGCTCAAGTTAAAGGAACCACAGTAGAAAAAGCTGGGAAAAAAATTAAGGAAAGCAAACAGGAGCTGTTGCTTCAGGAATCTTTGTTTTAAGGAATGAGTAAGTCTAGGCAGAAAACTACATTAAAGTCTTAATTTTGTTTTCAGTTTGTGCTTGGGATTAATTTCTTTATACCAGCTCAGTAACTGTGTACTTTGGTCAGCCTTGTGGAGTAAACCAGATAGGAATCACAACCAGTTGAACTATTTCTACTTTATGTAAAGCTACATTGACATAATTTTGCAGGTATGAAAGTATAATTCTATCATCCTCTTTATCCTTTACAGCCTAAGTATGTACCTATACATGGATGGATCTTTCTGAGCCTTTTGGGCTGCCCACTATCTAGCTGTGGGGCTATGCTGTCTCTTATCTGAATACTGTCTCTTTGCCCAGTCTCCCAAGGTCTTTTCCAGAAACATTAGAGTTTGTAATGTCAGTTAAAATTTCTTTACAGTAGGATTGCCTCTATGTAGGAGCAGCCTAGCAACACTTGTCTATCCAGAACTGTATATTTTTTCCATGGTAGATTAAGATGTTATATTTGCATCTCTATCACTCATTTTGCATGATAGTACTTACAGTTAAAAATGTTTTCATTCTCTTTTATTTTTAAAAAATAAAGTTTGAGTCTATTTATCTCTTGTGAGATTGGTTTATCTCCTAAAATGAAAGGAAAAAAAGCAGGATTTTATTAGCTATACAACTAATGCTAAAAGGCCAGAAGATGGTGCTAGAAAATCTGTTTATTTTTTCTTTTCATTTTAATTTCCTGGAAAAGCAATGAAGCTTGTGGGAGTTTTATCTGTCTCATACACTGTGGCTCAGAGGAAGATACTGGGTGAAGGGTTTCCCTGGAAAACAGATGGTGGCAGCAGGTATACCAACCCACCACACCAAGGCAGGAAGCAGAGATGGGGTACATAAAGACATTAGGTTTCCAATACAGTAATTTTCCAATTAAATAAGTAATTCGAGTTTCAAAGTGAATTAAATGCAAAATATTTTATCTGTACTCGGCAAAGAACTTTTGGAATCAGTATTCTTTCATAGGCTTATGAATGATATATTTAGTTTCTTTCCTGTCACATGCTGAAGCACTTACTGATTCAAGTCATTTTGTCATCTTTAATATGAATATTCTCAGTGACCCATCAAGCTCCTCAGGGTGTTACAGATAGCAAATTTGAGCTGTTGTAATGCTACTTTTGGGTTTGTGAAAATACTAGACTTTCTGTCTCCAGAATAACCATTATTTATAATTTTATTTTGATAGTAAGGTGGCAGGTATTAAATATCAGGCTTTAAAATTATTTATATAGTTGCCATTAAATAAGCAGGATGAAGTTTTCGGGGCATTTTTTCTATAGTTCAAATGTTATCCAGTCATTCTGCAATCTACAAGGCACCGATAACAGCTTTAGCAGAAAAGTGACAGGCAAGGTAGATTTATGCAAAAGGCCCAGCTGCAGCTGCTACCCGTTCTTCAAGTGAAACCCAGATTACTAAGCAGCTCTGCTTGAGGAAATGCACCCCCATCATTAGCCAAAGCTGGAATATTTGGAATTGGAAGGCTTTACATGCAAAGTCATTTTGTCTTGCTGAGACTGACTCTAAAATAGTTCATCTCCATCCAGACCCTCATAGCTTCCAGATACCAGGAGAACACCTTCACAATATCTCCTGTTCAGCCAGCAGTTAAAATGCACAGCTGGGTATCAAGTACATACTAATTATACATGACTCTAGTGGCTTTAAGTGGATATTAAAAAAAGATGCTACACAAAGGAGGACTTAGCTTCTCAACCGAATTGCCAGGAACTGAAATTGTACTCAAGGAGGAGAACCATGTAGCAGAGCCCCAGCCCATATTTGCAATTAGTCCATAAGGATGCTATGATAAATGGTATTGAAGGCCAGTAAAAGATCAAACAGAAGCAGGAAGGTTCATTTTACCCCATCACTACAGGACAAGAGTGACCAATGTCAATTCAGTCGGGTCAATTTTGCTTAAAATTCTTTGCAACTGCAACCCCGTCACTCTCTTCTTTTTGAAAAAATCAGGTTTGAGATCACCTAGTTATTAAAAATTGCTAGGTCAAATGATTGCTTTTGGGGAAAGAATGCATCACCCACCATTTCAAGGGAGATGGAAGTATTTCTTTAAAGAAGCATTCATCACCACTCAAAATCAGCTTCCTGGTACCTTCCTGGACGCTTTCATCAACCAGTCCATATTCTGCCTATTTATATGCTATATAAATACTATCTTATAAATAACAGGATGCATTCATATAGTAGACAAGCAAACCACATTTTATTTTAACATGAATTTAGCCACTGAATCAAAGTATGGCCTGCAAACTGTTTTAAGCCATGCTAGATGATTCTGGGTTAGCAGTTATTTGCAAACTAGGCTTTGCCTATACAAGCATCATACTAAACTGAATTAACTTTCTTAAATATGATTGGCATTATTCATCTTGGTGGACTCTGAATTAAGCTTTAAATTTTTTTTTTTTACCATATCCGGTACTGTATTTGCTTAGCACATTTTGCTATTGTGGTGGGCAAGTATTTCACATCTTAGAAATAAACCTGCATTTATTGTCTATCAATTTAGGCAGAATACAGCATAATATGGGGAAGCTATGATGGGCTAGTAATGAATTCTGTGTTTAATTTTTCAGATTTATCCCAATATATTCATACTGAACTAAATAAAGTCTTTAAATAAGCACATAGGATCATAGCATTAATTTAGAAAGGATTTAAGTGACTAAATTTAGCTTTCCTTTTTCTTCTACTTTCTTCCTTCAATAGCTGATGGTGATTGTTCAGCAGCTATATGGCTATGTGACATGAGGATATTCTAATCTAAACAATGTTTAGTATTAGAATACAGTATGTGTTTTAAATATTACACCTATGAATAAGATTGGATATTTAAAAGTGAAAACAGTGTTTATCTAAGGTAGTGCAATCCTATCCAGCACCCAAATAGCCAAGTCCTTGAACCAGAGGGCCCCATAACCCAAAGCCTCTCATAGACTTCAGAAATAAGGATAAGACATTCAGGCATCACTTAAATCACCAGGAGATATATACATACCTCATGGCACCCTATGAGCTCGCCCAACAGCATGGTATAGATGTTATAAAGGATAGATAATAGGGCCAAGAGTAGGGTTTCTATTTCCCAATAAACATAACTGGAATTGGTCCTCAAGAAAGGTGGTGAACCAGCATAACAACATGTCATGCTACCTACCCCCAATCTTCTGAGCTGGTCCATGGCTGATGGTATTGAAAGCTACCATGGGGGCAAGAATGGATGCACTACCCATACCCTGCCCATGTCATGTGGATGCAAAAAGGACAAAGAAATAGTGACGCTTTGCTGTCCTTACTGCCACAAGATAGGCATTAATAGGGCTCTCACCCATGCTCAGTCTATTTCAGTGGTTCTCAACCTTTTCTTTACCATGGATCACCTTTAAAAAATATTTCTGGTTACAAACCATGGACATAGACTGTCAAGATTTAACTCTAGATTTAAATCATAACATTTCTTAAAGCTTTTGTGGACTCCTTGTGATGACCGCAAGCCCCCAGGTGTCTGTGGATCACAGATTGAGAACCACTGGTCTAGTTCATGCTTTGTTGAACACCAGTGATGCTAAGGTCCTCTGCACTATAAGAGTAAAAAGCAGAGAGACAGAGACAGAGACAGACAGACAGAGAAAAAGTAACTGGGTAAATTCATTTAAGCCACAGATAACTAAAGTGTGGTTTAGCTCATTGTCAAAACAAATTTGGTTTCTCAATTTTTCCATTTTGATTACAATTCAAACAATTTCATAATCAATTTGATATTTTAAAAAAAAAACAATTTGTAAGCCACTATATACTATTTTGCACAAATATTTTATAATGTATACATTTTTATGCATTTTCACTTAATATATAATTCTGCAAGCAGCTTTCATAATGCAATTCATTTTTGTACATTC